AACGGCCTATTTTTTGGGGGGCCGTGCCTACTTCTGTTGGGACTTTGTGGGAAGGAACAAAAATGTGTGGAGGGATGTGGGTGTGCCCAGCAGTTTCTCTAAATTGAATTACCGCAGTTTTACCCTTTACCCGAATTTGCCTCTGTGGATTGTGAATGGGTCATGATTTATCTCTTGGGGAACCGCTGGCATGCTTCATTTCGCCAGCCCACCGCCGTCGGGGGTGTGGGAAGTTGGTGGGCGAAGTAGGAAGAGGAGGAGCCGCCCATTCAAAAATTTACCTGTGGAACAACTACTAAGACATCCGTCTACGAGTTGCTTCGTCGTTTTCGAGCCACGTCGACTGGTGTTGGCTTCTTGGCCAGCTCGCGTAAACGTTTTCTGCCCTTTGACTTCCTCTGTTTTTGTTGTTGTTGTTGTTTTGGTTTTTATTTACTTCCTTTTCAATACTTCCATGAAATTGTTGAAGTAAAGTTTTTTTTTTTTTATCCTGGGCCGCAGCTGCAAGCACAAAAAAAAGGGGGTGGGGGAAACAAGAAGACAAAAACGAAAAGGGAGAGGAAGCAGGGGAAAAGGGACAATGAGCATGGTGTCGGAAGAGGAAGCGCTGGCGGCGCAGTACGCACGGCGGCAGGATTTGTTAAAGCAGTTGAATGAGGTGAACGGCGTCATCCGGAGCCTGGAGCAAAAGTTGATGGAGAGCGCTACGCCGGGTGTGGATAGGATGCCCATAGCGGACTCTGCCGGCTGCGACAGCGACGCGGAGCATATGAACTCTATTCTTGACCGCTGCTTGCAGGATTCCAATGGCTTGCGAGACGCAATGAAGTTTGTCGACGCCTGCAAAGCCGTGAGGGAAGCTGCCGTGCAAAGCGAGAGTAAGAAGGAAAAACACTCCTTCTGTAACCGGTTTGTGCATAAAATCATCGCTAGATCACCTGTACTTGCGCTTGATTCAAATGGCAGTGAACTCCTTCAAAATGCACTAGGACTGCTGAAAAGTGGAGGCTCTGTGGCTCCCACGCTTCACTCCACAGACTACATTGCAGCCGCTGACCGTGACCTCTCGGAGATGCTGCTGCTTCTCACCGAGCTGCAAGCACACATACCTGAGATATGCTATGACACAAACGGCACCCGCGTTGTACAGAAGATTTTTGATTACGTCAAGAGTGTTGAAGAGTTGGAATTATGTGCCAAGTGTTTTGCTGATTCCATTATACCACTTTGCAAAGACATTAATGGGAGCCATGCTATTGCCCGTCTTTTGGCTGCGGCACGTCAGGTCAATTTTTGTGACGAAAATGGAAAAATAGATGCTGGCACTGAAGCGAGGCTATCAGGGATTCACGAGACGCTTTATAAGAACTTCGCAGAAAACTGTGTCGATGTTTGCCGAAATCGTCAGGGGTGTTGCATCATTCAAAAATGTCTTCAATGGACGCCAGAGCCCTATTTTTCGGCGATCATCGACACGGTTCTTCAGAATACGCTTAAACTTGTGAATGATCCCTTTGGTAATTATGTGGTGCAGTTTATCTTGGACAACGAGAGGGAGCTCTCGCAACGCTGCAGTGCGGGTCAAGAGGCAACGAACTACACGAACCGAACCATAAGGCAGATGCTGCATAACGTGGCATCACTTTCCTGCGACAAATTCAGCAGTAACGTCATTGAGAAGTGCTTGAGGACTGTTTCTCCAGACGTGAGGCAGCTCTTAGTTGATGAACTGACCGACCCCCAGGTACTGCCCAAGCTTCTGACCGACAGCTATGCAAACTACGTTATTCAAACGGCCATTGTGACCTCCTCCGTGGAAAGCCAGTTTGCACAGCTGCGGGACTCTATTATGCCGCTTCAAAACCTACTGCGAAATTCCCCGTACGGTGTAAAGGTTGAGGCCAAGTTGGCACGTCGACAGCGCGCTGCACTTCGAAAACCAGAACACCAAAAAGAGCAGGGCCGACGAAGCGCAGCTCCTTCCCATTTTCCTGAACAAGGCGGTGCTGAGACTTTGTTGACCACACAACTTATCTCTGGCGTGCCCACAATTCCGACTTTGATGGGCTCAGAGCCTTTGCAACAGAATACGGTTGCCTTTTCGGGAATTTCTGAGGAGCTGACCTCTGTGATGACGCAACCACAATATATGCAGCTGATGTTTCAAGGACAACAGGCCCTTATTGGTTTGCAGCAAGGCCATTCTCAACAACCCTTTCAAGTGAACATGATGAAGGAGCCTGCCATGTGGGGGCCTCAGCAGAGCTTTACTCTATTCCAGCAACCCAACCAGAGAAAAACGGATAGATAATAAAAAAAAATGTTATTGATT